GTTAGTTAGTTTTGAGTTATTAGTTATTTTAAGGTAGTATTAGTTATTTTTAGTAAGTAGTAGTTAGTTAGTTTTAAGGTATATTTAGTAGTTTTTAAGAGTATTAAGTATTTTTGAGAGTATTAGTATTTTAAGGAGTATTTAAGGTATTTTTTTGAAGGAGTATTTAAGGTGTTTTTGAAGGAGTATTTAAGGTGTTTTTTGAAGGAGTATTTAAGGTATTTTTTAAGGAGTATTTAAGGTATTTTTTAAGGAGTGTTTAAGGTGTTTTTGAAGGAGTATTTAAGGTGTTTGAAGGAGTATTTAAGGTGTTTTTTAAGGCGTATTTAAGGTATTTTTTAAGGAGTATTTAAGGTATTTTTTAAGGAGTGTTTAAGGTGTTTTTGAAGGAGTATTTAAGGTGTTTTTGAAGGAGTATTTAAGGTATTTTTTTGAAGGAGTATTTAAGGTGTTTTTGAAGGAGTATTTAAGGTGTTTTTTTGGAGTATTTAAGGTATTTTTGAAGGAGTATTTAAGGTGTGTTTGAAGGAGTATTTAAGGTGTGTTTGAAGGAGTATTTAAGGTGTGTTTGAAGTAGTATTTAAGGTATTTTTTTGAAGGAGTATTTAAGGTGTGTTTGAAGGAGTATTTAAGGTGTGTTTGAAGGAGTATTTAAGGTGTGTTTGAGGTGTGTTTGAAGGAGTATTTAAGGTATTTTTGAAGGAGTATTTAAGGTGTGTTTGAAGGAGTATTTAAGGTGTGTTTGAAGGAGTGTTTAAGGTGTGTTTGAAGGAGTATTTAAGGTGTGTTTGAAGGAGTATTTAAGGTGTGTTTGAAGGAGTATTTAAGGTATTTTTTTGAAGGAGTATTTAAGGTGTGTTTGAAGGAGTATTTAAGGTGTGTTTGAAGGAGTATTTAATGAACTTTTATCTTCTGTATTTATAAATGGTTTGCAAATATCTTGCGATGCGTGTCAAGGTGCACTGACCCTCTTCTAAATTGTGGCAAATCCTCTTAAGTATTGCAAAAAATGTTTGGTACCTTTCATCAAGCATTTCCCAACCACATAACACCTAAGTCTATTTGCCTAAATATGCAGTTGTTGCTGGATGTAGATAATTGAACTCTAAATATTACACATCTGGTGGAAAGATACGATTTCCTCTCCCATCCGTCGTATCCACTCGATTTATTGACCTGTCGTCCTCAAGTACATTCACTGACGTTCAGACGGCCTAACCACCCGAGCTTTAATTTGTCTGTGGCTCTGTACTCACGCTTGAGGGGCCCTGAATGGGAGCTCCTTTGTGTTTGCGCGCTGGATGTAATGCATGGGAAATGGTGGAAGGAGTCATTGTTATGGCCACACACCGCCACGGGGGAATGAAGGCACCCATCTGGAAATGGCTTCTGTGGAGATGCGGCTGCTGGGTGTTTGTTGTGTGTCCCCTCAGCCAGCGGTGGGCGACAGGTTATCGATTAAACACAAATTGGACACAGAAACCCAATTATTGCATTGTGTTGCTGTTTGGCCTGATCCAACGCCTTGTATTGAGTGTGGGGCCTGTGATGGCATCGGACAATATCTGAAGAGGACAAAGAAGAAAATAAGTCAATGTATGAAAGCATGTTTTATACACAGATAGTTTTTAGATGGCTTTTTGTAATTACAAGCTGCTTTTCAGCCACATTACGGATGTTAGGAAGTCAGACTGACACTTTGAACTCCATAGTGTCACCAACAGGTAAATATTTTAGTTTTGTCTTGACAGCGTATAGATGCATTGCCATGAAGTCTAACACATACATTCAAACTTTCCAGATGATGAACCCATACTGACTTTGGTGACTTTTCCTAAGAGGCATCATCTGGTGTACTCATGTCTTAGTGTTACTTTTTCGTTTTTCTGCCTCAGCTTAGCTTACTCTTAAATTATACTTGGCAAATGTAGACATACAAATCTAAGATATTGGTAAATATTACATATGCTATACAGGTCATTGTCAATGTTAGCATCCCGATGTTAGCATTTAGCTCAAAGCACCACTGTAGACTCTCGTGTTTTGTGATCACCCAATGTTTGTGGAAGAATATTAGATTAGAATATTATTTTTTATACTTGATTTGAGTTTGATGGTAGGGATGCACGAGGCTATTTTGAAGTAGTTTTCTTACCCAGTGAATGCGCACATATGGTAAAGCATGATATGCTGTCCCTACACCTGACATACATATATGTTAATTTCACTACAGGAGAGATTTGATGTTTTCTGCAAATAGATGGAAACAAATTGCAAACATTGGCATTTGCAAATAAGCCTATATTACTGCTACTGCAAACAATTTAATTATCCAGAATTGTTTATATTGTAGAATTGGAAATATTAAATTATTAAATCTACCTACCTAGCTACCTACCAACCACCCACCAGTCTATCTATCTATCTATATATCTATCTATCTTTCTATCTATCTATCTATCTATCTTATCTATTGCCAAAAGTAAAGTAACAGACAGAGAATCAGCACTTTTGAAACAGGGGGGATTATGGGATGCTGCAATGATCTGTTTGGTGTTTGGAGCCAAACACTTCAGAGACATGTTTTGTATATATCTGAGGCCTATAATATATTGATGAAAAACAGTATAAAGTGGGACCTTTAAAGCTATATCTCCTATTCTTGCATTTTCTTTTCTCCTGCTCATTATCTCATTCCCAACTGACCCAATGCTTCTTGGGATCCCCACTGTCTGCCTCTCTCCTGCAGCTCCCAGGCTCACAGACAGAGGGCGACAGAGGCCTGGTGCATGGAGAGAGGGTGAGTCATACAGTGAGACCGTCACGTACAGACAACAGAACCAGGCCCGGTCTGAGTCCATCACAGGTCTTTATTTGCACCAGAGCTTGGCTTCCTTTAGGCTTCCTCACTCTTGTTTGTGGTTTTAAACGAAGTTATTGTAACGTTTTCATTCCTGCTGCGAATTATTGTGTGCGTGCTGATACTGGGCTGATATACTTCCTGGTTTATCGACTCTGCAATCCCTCCTATCCGCCCATTACATGTAATCTTGCTGTGGTATTACGTCTGTATTATCAGTATGTATGTGCACGTGCAGCTATACTCTACTCATGTCTCTCTCTCTCTCTCTCTCTCTCTCTCTCTCTCTCTCTCTCTCTCTTTCTCTCTCTCTCTCTCTCTCTCTCTCGTGTGTGTGTGTGTGTGTGTGTGTGTGTGTGTGTGTGTGTGTGTGTGTGTGTGTGTGTGTGTGTGTGTGTGTGTGTGTGTGTGTGTGTGTGTGTGTGTGTGGTGCTGAAACACAATCAGGTCGCTGTCCGTGGTACTGATCAGACAACAAGAGATGTGATTTATTTGTTCCCTTTAATATATATTTAGTTATAAGATTAAAAGCCCTATAGCTCACTCCATATAATCTTTCTTATATAACTGAATACAATGCATCTAATTGGGTATTTCAACACTGAGACACCTCTGCTCAAACCCGAAGGCCTACTTGAGGTCTGTTTGCCTATTGCCTAGGGTATGCATGCTAGAAACACAAATGTAAGATTGTTAGTCAAATGCCTGAATCTAACTTTTAAACATTTAACTTATTTATTTTGCATGTCACATTTGCAAATCTGCCTTAGCCTGTTATATCTCATACTTTGTTGTGGCTAAAACGTCGACATTTGGAAATGAAATGGATTGACTGTGCTATGTATGTCATCCATTGGGCTGCTTCAATGTGACTTGTTGGGGGACCATCATTTTTTACTTCCAGGTTTATGTTATATTTCACAAAAGATTGAGGCTCGTCATAATCAATATTAGGATTATGGGGGGGGGCTTGTGCAGTCTCTTAAATATGAATGCACATTTTCCTTTGATTCTTTTTAACGTTGGTATAATCAAAACATTCCCACAGTTGCACTTAAATATTTTGTATTTTTACATAGGAGGAAGTCTGTTTTAAATATGTTTTTTTGCTGGCATCCAACCAGTAGGAAGTGTATAAACTGAAAGAAAACCCAGTGTGGACAGAAAAGGGAGAGGGCATAGCACCTCCCACGTCCTATATGCGAGAGATCGAGAGAGAGGCACAGAGAGGAAGAGAGAGAGTCTGCTGTGGTGGTGTTTGGAAATCGGACGACATGAGCTCTACATGAACCGTGTAAAATGCTTTAAGACGCTTTCGGCGTTTGTCTTACATCCGTCTGAACCGAGGACGAGCCTGAAGCGGAGCTATACTTCACGACCAGGTATGGAGAGATGCTGCTCGGCACCACATCCCTACATGGAGGGTAGATGTTGGTATTCAGTGGCGTAACCGCGGTCCTTCATGCTGGCTGCTGGGCGCACACGATCCCTGCTGTTCCATCCGGGGACAGAACATTTTATTTCCATTATGCATCAGATTGATTTAAACGCATGCACACCGGCTGCTAACACGCAACACATTTGGTGTTTGATCACCTCTATCGTTACTCTATCATTGTATATAGCCTTATGCCCGCACAGCCATATTGGCAGTCAGCAGGAAAGAGAGGGGGAGTGATGTGAGGGTGTTGTTGGGATTATTGCTTTGAAGAGTAAAGGGAGGGGAGGGGGGCTTTCGCTGCGACTGCGAAATGATGGCACCGTTGCGAGATGGCGATCCTCTGATATTTATGAATGAACCCAGTATGGTGGTCTGTAATGGCGTTGCGGAACCAATCTGGCCCTCGGACGCCAAGCCCTCTCCTCCTCGCTGCCACCCCTTAATGCACGTCAACATTAGACTATACCGTAGTAATAATAATGACGCCAGCGTGACGCAGAAAGCCCGATTTCTGTGGCAAATGTCATGGCTAACCCTCCATCTGTGTTTCTCCTCCATGCCTGACGTGCTGTTTTATGCGCATCTCATGGAGAGCAGAGCCGTCATGACATGGACAATGAGGTGTGTGTGTGTGTGTGTGTGTGTGTGTGTGTGTGTGTGTGTGTGTGTGTGTGTGTGTGTGTGTGTGTGTGTGTGTGTGTGTGTGTGTGTGTTGGTCGAGGTTGATAAGTGGAAGTGTGTGTG